TACACCGCTAAAGGGTCTCTAACCCTAATGAGTGTAACTGTTACACATTATATAAATATGATACTAAAACTCCTCTACAATATCTAAATGTAACACTGGTTGTATTGTGCATTATCTGAATGCAACACTGCTAGTATCTAGTCTCACATAGGCATGAAAAACTAGTTAACTGAGAGAACCCAGTGTCACATAGCATCGATGAAATTTCCACTAAGTTGTTAAATGATCTCCTGATCCTCACATAGCCATCAGGTAGATCATGGAAAGGGAACCCAGTGTCAAATAACAATATAATTCCCGCTCAACTGAAGCGTTGACTCGATTTCACACAGCCGTCAAGCCAAGCTTTAAGGATATATGTTGTACTGGACTGATGCAACTATACATGTATACCTAATGGCACAAAAGCCACACAACACTAACATCGCTAACCCACTCCTCGTGAGTGTTCGAGCCTCACACCTTGTTAGCCATTGAAGTGCATCATACACTGACAATGCCCCACTAAGGCAACTAAGGTAACTTAGCTACACCTTAGAATAGTTGGACACACTAAAGTGAGGTTATCCTATCACTAGCTGCTATCTCGCTTGTTCTCTCATCTTGAATATTATGCAAGAGTTTATTAGTATGTTACTATTGTTAGTTTATTAAGTTGCTCTATTCTGGTCATTTGTTACATAAAGGTATTTTAGTCATTTATGTCTCTAAAGAGGTTTCTATGTGTTTTATGATTATTCTACGATCACTGTGTATTCTGTTCACTGGTTGAGATACTAGCTAGCTCGATACCTGATTCGAGTTCATTATTGGGTAGCGATACTCTATTCCTTCTTACCACGCCTTCCCTCAATTCACCCTCGAGTAAGAGGGACAACTATATGTCCAACATTTACTAACATTCATCTCGTACATTATCCAGCTATTTCAAAATCTGATTAATTCATTATACCATTTGTCGATATATCCTCTACAATGATCTTTCATTTTTAAATACTTACTATGTGCTTGACTTAAGATAATTGGACATATTCCACGTACTATGATCACTTCAGTTGTAACCCACTCCTATGAGTATTCTTAGGCTCTCTTGGTCATTTGTGTCACTCACGGACTAAGTTTCATCATTACGGACTATCATTAGCTCTTAAGGGCCTTAAATTGGTCAAATCTAACCATACAGAGTGAGTAGTATCAATACTCTGCTTGTAGTATCGATACCTTAGGGTCAAGTATCGATACCTCTATGAGCATCGGTACCAAAAATGGCTTTTGTTGCTGAAAATGTGGCCTAGTATCGATACCGTATCCCTAAGTATCGATATTGTAGGGGCTATATCGATACTTTCCCCAACAGTATCGATATTCCTTGCTTGAAATCCCTAAATTTTGTCTCAATTCATCCAGTATCAATATTCGAACCCAAAAATGACTTATTTATGCTTGAAAAACACCAAAACATTATCACATATATCTTAGTTTGGTTCCTAATCATGTGCAACAACTTTAGGAAGTTATTTAGGGACTTAAAGTGTCCTAAAAATGCATGTTTTACATCAAATTCATCATCTATGACATAAATCAAGTATGAAACTCTAAAATGCTCAAATACCCAAATCTTAACAAATCATCATGTTTATGAAAGCCTTAACACTCCAAAGGATTAGAAATACACTACTTTGATGTTAGGATCACGAAATGAAACTCCTTTCTTAGCCACACTCCCTTCCTTTAAGATTTAGATGAAAACCCTCAACTTTCTCTTTAGTTATAAAGAACCCAAGACTTGAATCATGAAACCAAAATTGCTCGAGGGGTTTAGGACAAAAATGAAAATTAAAAGAAGTAGGAAATTGAGGAGGAAAGAAGAAATGAATAGAAAGAAGAGATGAAGAAATGAAGAAATGAGAGGGAAAATGAGAAGAAATGAAGAGAATGAGGAGATGAAAAAGATAAAAAGCTTTCATCTTTTAAAAAATAGGATAATCACATTGTAGGTTCTTTCTCATCTTTCTACAATTCAAAAACTTCATTTTATGGCTAATTGGGCTCAATTCCAACCATTTAAGCTCAAACTCGACCCAATGACTTTAATTATGAATTCTACGAGGTCCACTTACATTTCTGGTAAACTTAAAACTACTAAGATTACATAATCCGTTGATATTCACAACATCAACTATGTTGTATTTGAAGAACCCTCTCGACTCCGGCTTCTAGATAGAGAAAGTAGACTTGATCCATGATGTAAAACTTTCATATTTTAACTTTAATTTTTTTCAAAGAATTTTTTTTTAGAAAATGCGTTGCTTGTGTTGTTTAAACTTCGTGGATAGATGCCTAATCACAATCATCTTTTTTTATTCTTTTTCTTTTGGGCATTATTATTTTTAAATTAATAATTACTGAAACATCAAAATCAAGTAAAATTAGGTTAACGTGGATGGGGCAAAAAGTACAAGGATGTTGAGGTTAGTGTTTGTAGAAGCTGTTTGTCATTCTCATGTTAAAGTGGGTGGGACACTTGTTTAAGCCCAAGCGAAAGTTTTAAATATTGATGGACAATACTCGGCTCAAACTTTATTGTGGGTTCTTCTCTTCGTTTCTAGACCGAATAACGCATGAAAATTAAAAAAAAATTAAATTGAAGTGTAATGATTGAATAGTTTTTCATTTATAAATTCAATAATTAAAATTTTAAATTAATATAAAATCAATAATTAAACTAAATTACCATAAACTTTTCAAAAGATCAAAAATTTCAATTTAAAGCGATCTCGCTCCTTATTTATATATTGATTCATTGATATTTTATATATTATCAATGAATTATTGAATTACAACATATGTCCTTTATTCCCCTTCAACTTTGATTCCATGTACTTTTCTGAAACCCTAAAGTTTTTTTTTTCTCTCTAGCCCTTCTTTTTTATTTGGTAGACAACAACAATAGTTTCAGTGTTGGTTGTTGTGCGCATGTATTTCTTGTTTTTTCTTTTTTATTATATTTTGTATTATTTTTTATTTTTTTTAATTTACAATAATTTTACCTCTGATACGTTTTTGTTTGTCTTTATGACAAACTTTCCTCTATCATTTGGTGTGCTTTCAATCATTTTGTCGATTTTTTTCATTTAATTTTCTTATAGTTAAATATGACGACATATCAACTGATTAATATGGTGTTTAATTAATATTTTGTTGATATTTCCTGTTTTATATCTTCATATTAGATTTGGATAGACAATTTTATATTTGGAGATAGTTTTCTCACGACATTTGATTTTAATTTGCGATTGTCAGTGGTATTCTAATAGTTCATTCTCTTGTTGTAGTTCATTTGCCGACACAAACAATTTTTTCTGTATTCATCTTCTATTCGAGTTTTTATATGAGTTTTTAATTTTTTTTATAGTCCTTGTATATTTTTAAAAGATTAATTCATTGTGTTAATGGTTATAGAGATATGTCTTAATTATATATTTATTATAATGTCGGATATTATTGTTTTAAAACTAGTGATTACTATTTACATAAAAATATATATTATCAAGTAAATTCATTAATTATAATATGCAAGATAAGTCCAAATGACTTTATTTATAATGATGTGTAAAAATCTAATTGGCGGATAATAAATACTCGAGATTCTACTGGTTGAATTGTGAGTTCAACGATATTGATTAAAAAATGGCTTTCTAACTATTTTTCTCATGTTTCTATTTTTAACCGGTTTAAAATGATTTAATTTATTTGTGTTAATTGATCAAACTAATAATTATTAATTTAATCCATCGATTAAATTCTAACAACATTATAATTAATACGTCATATATATATATATATATATATATATATCAACACATACATTTTACATGATTAATTAGGAATACTTAGGGTCCGTTTAGTTTTAGAAAATATAATATATTTTCATTTTCATTTTCTTAGAAAATAGAAAACGATGAAGAAAATGTGTTCGAATGTAAAATTGGAAAATGATTTCTGGAAAATGAAAACAAAAATAAGTTTTAAATCATTTTAACAATAATTTTCTAATTTAATGATATTTGAAACCCTCAAACTTTTGTAAAAAATTGATATGGCCCCTAAACTTTTTTTACACTTTATGTAGTCCTTAAATTAAATTTTTTAATAATTTAATTTTGCAGTACTTTTATATTTAATGTATTGAATATCTTAATAATTGTTTATATTTTTAATCTAAATACATTTTTAAATTTTTTTTAAATTAAATAAGTCCTCAAACTTTCTAAAATAATCAATTAAGTACATCTACCACATCATTGCCCATCAAATACTGCCACAACAGTATCGTGAATTGTCATATCAATATTGTGAATTGTCATGTAAGTTTATGAACTATCATATAAGCGAAGTGATAATCAATGTTTGATTCCACTACTTAAAGGGTTAGATTATTTATTTTTCTAGGTTTAAGGATTATATTTGGTACAAAAAAATGTTCAGGGACTACACTAATTATTTTTTTCAAAATTTTGAGGGTCTCAATTACCACTAAACATGTTTTTTATGTTAATGAAACTTTTGTGTGCTATTGCTTATAACAATATTTTTGTGTATATTTTAAATTTAATTGATGTCCAATATGCATTAACAATATATTCTTATTATAAACTAAAATAAATTTTGTGTTATGAAATTTCTTATCAATTTTATTGTTTATATTTACATAACTCGTTAAATTTATGTAATGATTTTTTTTAATAATTATAGTTTAATTTAATTGTTTAATGACTATTTGTTTATTTCTATTTTAAAAAATTAGATACCACATACATATGTATTATTTTAGTTTTGAATTAAAGTTTTCATTTATATTAATTAAACATGTTTTTTAAATTTTCAAAAATTTGAAAATAAAAACTATTTTCTAAAAATAAAAAAAATAAAATAGAAAATATTTTTTAGAACCAAACGCACCCTTAATATTTTACGGCTATGACACATCGTTACTTAATAGAATATTTTATATATCGCACATAATACATGGTAAGATTCAGTCCATGGCTCTGTCTCTCTCACTGTACTTTGAAACAAAGCATAAAGCTTCTTAAACTTAGTATTACAATATATATGACATATAATACAATGTATTTATATCTATATATATAAGCTAGGTTTATTACTAATTATTATATTAATTATAATGTAATAATATATATTGCTTCATTTTCTTCAAGTAGGGTGACACAGCTGAGGGCAAAGCTCCTTACCCAAATTGCTATATGAGGCAATTAATTAGGTATGAGCTTGAAGGGAGGCTTGACAAGAGCTGGTGATGGATCATATTTTCCATAGTCTTTAGTGTTTACTCGAAGCACTCTTTCATGGATTCCTTCCCCTTCCCCACTCTCCTGCACTCAAATCAAAAGAGAAAAAAGTCATCATATATATATACATAATCCTAGACCCTCTCGTGTTCAATAATTATATGAGTTTCGAATGTATCTAAAGTCCATATCAGAAATAAAGATAAAAGTTCAATATAATTTCCTTCGCTCATAATACTCGAAACTTGAGACTTCATATGAGAAAAGTAAATGATTATAGTAATATATACTCTCTCTCTCTCTATATATATATATATCAGAAAAAGAAAAGAAAAGCTCTAAGAGATCCGAGGTAGGTTAAATATTTGCTTCTTCTTGATCAGGGACATGAGCTATTAAGGGCGAGCGAGGAGTTCCTGTCCCTCTCAAAAAAAATTTGTTTAATGGTAATTTTAGTCTTGTTAAATAGAGTCTTGTCTAAACCTAACTTCGTTCCTATTATTAACGTTTAACATATATGTTACATTTTCGCAGCATTTTGAAGATTAGGGAAGGATTGTTAATCTTGGGATTGCATGAGACAGTCAAACTAAAAGGATTAGGTTAATTGTTCTCCTTGCTTACCGTGCTAGTTAGTAGTTAACATATGTTAGCATGTTGGGTGGAGTAATAAGGAATTTGATGTCTCTTAAACGTAGTTTTCATGCTCTAGTCCTATGGACTCAAATAAACAACATTGAATGAGCTTGTCCCCGTATATGAAATCCGACCCGACTCCGCTCTAAACTTAATCGAAATCTTGTTGAGAGATCTCAAATCCAATACGAACCTCAAGAGCTGCATCAACTTCTTCCTCGGTCAACCTATTCTCGAACTTAGAATAGCGACCTGTAAAACACAATTCCATCATCTAAATATTGAAATCCTAATCATCCTGTACATTAAACATGCAAAATAATTTATCTGCCATCTTCAAAACCAATTATTCTATGTACCAAATCATGGTAAAAACCCTAAAAACTAATGTTTGAATCTGGTCTCACCAGCAGCTTTATATATGTATATATAATTACTTTAAAGAGTAATTTCAACATTCTAATCGACAAAGCTTGCATGGTGGCATGCATGATGCACCAGAGACTAAAAAGCTGCAGCAAAAAGATATAGAAGAACTCACCTGCCATCGAAATTGAGAAAAGCAAAGCTGAAACCAAGAACAAAAGTAGAACAATCTTCTTCATATTATGCATGTTTAAGCAATTATTTTCTCTCATTCAAGTGGGAATATATGGAGCAAATTGCAAGGGGATATTTGTATTAGCTTCAACGTTATATTTGCTATAAGAGCTATAGGCTTAGAGATGAACCAACAAATGGGTTTATTTTATTGGGAAGAATGCAATAAGCTTATTGTATTCTTTTCTAAGTTTAAAATATTCAAAAGTTAAAAGAAAAAGGTTGATGAGACCACTTTTCCTTTTGTTGGGGCACTTAGTCTAATGAGTTAGTGGATTATATAGTTAATTAAAACAATAGTATTGGGTGTGACACTTAGTTGAAATTATCAAAACACCCTTGATTATTCTATCCTATTGGTTGGATAAAAGTATAGTACAGATCCATGTACTATTGTTTGGGTTACATTTTAGTCCGTATACTTTAAAATAAGTAAAAATAAATAAACTCATTGAGTGATAGTGATAAAAAAATATTATTATCTTTGTTAGTTGGTATAACCAAATGCAAACAATGCTGACGTTCAACGTTCAATTTTAAAGTTTTGTGTATTCCTTGGAGGCAGTCTTGTCTCTTGGTGCTCTAAATGTCAACGTTTGGTATCCATATCAACCATTGAAGTTGAATATCGTGGTATCGCTGATGTTGTAGTCAATGTTGTGTGGCTTCAGGCTTTGTTAAGTGATATGGGTATGTCGTGCATCGATACACTTGTTGTGTGGTTCGATAACACAAGTGCTATCGCTGTGAGTGTCAACCCGGTGTTCCATTCTTGTTCAAAGCATGTTGAATTAGACATTCATTTTATTACGTTGAAACCGGTGTCGTTCGTGTTAATTGTGTTCCCGCTCGACATCAGAAGACTGGTGGTTTTATAAAGCCTCTTCCTCGTGCTTATTTTTCTTTGTTTAGGCAAAATATGAATATTGCTGATGTAGATGTTGAAACTCTGGAAAGTAGGAAGAATGTTAAGTATTGAGTGGATAGAATGGAACGGTTTCCAGCTGAACTGTTAAGGCTGGTATAATCGAATCCATAGCTGGCAAAAACTGCATGGATCATTCTAGCATCTTTCTGTAATGCTTTAAATATGTTGTATTGGTTAATGAATAAAATAAGCTTTCGTATGAGGTCATTTAGAAAATCATCTCTTTGAACATTCTCAACATTTTTTAAAGGATTCAAGTTCGATTAGTTACACTTAAAGGATGTGTGTGTTGTCGGTGACTAAAAATTAATATAAATATATAATATCATATAATCACATGCGATAACCAATAAATATTGGGTGAAGGTAATTGTATTTTTAAGAGAGAATCTAACTTCAAACTTTATAGATATATTGTTGGGAGGAGTACCTCCAAACGTCGAAGCTGAGACCTTATATTTATTTTTAAAAAATCTTCATTTTCTAGTGTACTAGAACATTTTCTTGCTTATTTTAAGAAATATGATCAAAATGTAATTCATACCATAATACAGGGACTTGTAAATGACTTGTACCATCATTATGTTCATTTAATGTCAACCATCTTACTAGGGCTAAACATGGGAACATGTAAAAATGTGTGGCCATTAGGGGAGTTTTTCATGGTCTAAACCTAAGGACCATGTCAAAAGGACCAATTAGGTTTGCATTAAAATAAGGTTTTATAGAACATTAGTGCTTTCAATTATCCTTAACGACAACAACAACGTACCAAATACAACTAAAACGGACAGTGGTGGGGAATAAAGAGAGAGTGAAAAAGCATGCAATGTGAGATATTATATTATATAACTTTTAAAAGATTTAAATTATGTTTTTAAGTAAAGTGAGGGTTAGGGCATATCCACTTCTCTTGACTTAAGTAAACTTTCTCACTTTACACTCTTAATAATTGATCATTTACAAAGCGATTGAACAAGTTATAATGTAAGAATGGGAGTCATGGATTATTATCATAAGAAAAGGATTATGAGACGATAAATAAGTAAAAAATAGATGGTTAATATTAATAATAGAAAATAACAAAATATTCATATGAAGAAAAAAAAGATAATCACAATTGTCTATTTACACGCATCTAACAATCTTAAAAAATATAAAACTAAAAGTTTTACACCAGATGTAAGTGGATCCTAACCCATACAGAATAAAATATGCACAATTTTCGTGAATAGAATCAAAATTATTCCATGATATTTATATGAGATTATCTTTTTTATTCTTAAGTAAGTCCTTTGAGATAGAACAAATTCACAATATCAACTAATAAAGTATAATTAACAGTAAAAATTATGAGGCAATATCAACTTTGTTAATTCATAATTTATAGTTCATCTTTCGTTTACTTTTTCTTTGTTCGAGAAATATATTGATCACCTCTGACGTTTTTTCAACATTTACCTGGAGGAAGAAAATGAGAACTTTATTTTTAATTGATTAAACTAACAACCAAATAAAAAGAAAAGAAAATATCAACCGAGAGTTTTTAACCATAATTTTAAGTGTGGTCTTACTGATCCAACTATGAAAGCTTGAACAATTTTTTGTAATTTGATCAAAATCTCCTAAGTGGAGTTTGCGACTTTGTGCCCTAAAAATAAAAATGAACCCTACCTATGACACGCTCATCGCTGCAGAAGATGACAGATATCTTTTTATAAAGGGAATCTAGGCCAGTGCTTTCATGATGATAATTAAAATAAATGTGCTGGGAGATTTGATGATAATGTCTTTATTTTTATATTACATTGTGCAAGATTTGGAAACGAAGGTGCCAATTGTGCCACTGCACATTCTTCTCCCACCTAGCAGATAAACTTTGCCTACGGATATGTGCACTTAATAAGTTGATCAACAAAATGAAAACTTGAACTGATGATCTTGCAAAATATTTTATAAAAAAGTTATATGCAATCATCTTGCTCCAATAATGAGTTTTCTGTAATTCATGAGTATAAAAATTTTAAATTTATATAATTTATATATTTTTTAATATATATTATTCATATTTTATTTTTGTATCTTGAAATTTTATAAATTCATCCGCGTATATGAAATCTTGAATCTATCCTTCGTTATTATAGTGTAAATTATGTTTTTCATTAACATTTATAATACATCTTCAACATATGAACATGATACAAGTCATGTTGGATCGATTAATACTATAGTAACAAGATGAAAAATCATACAATCATATTCAATTACATAATTTAATTATAATTATAGACACTAATGTTTTTCGGACTCCAAATTCAAAAAATTTATTTTATTTTTTAAATATTTATTTTGAAATTATTTTAATTTATTTGACTTTAAATCTATTTAATATTAATATATTAATAATAAATAAATTAAGTTTATTAATTACATTAATGATAAAAGCATATGTTGTAATATTAGTTATATGTTTGGTTTGTAGAGTAATTTATAAATATTAAAACTATTAAATAAATACTAATATATTATTTATTATCGTTTATGGATATTACAAGTAACTCAAAACAAGAAAACACAATTGATGTCAACTAAAGTTCACACGTGCAAAACCAACATATTAGACCCAAAAGTCTAGTCAAAGCCCAGACAAAGCCCGATCGGTAGACCCAAAAGAAGAAGCATGTATGATTCATCTCGAATTTCATCAAGCCCTTTTGCACCGCCTATTCACTAGCATCAGATCAAGATCCATTCAACGGTTCGGGTCAGGAGTCACACTAGGGTTTTCAAAACCTAGAGAGAAATCAGCGTCGCCTTCTAGAATGGTCTAGGGAGGTTGGCTCTAGTTTTTGTACGTGGTCCTCACGCGAAGGCTTTTGAACTCCTCCACGTGTGCTCCAGCAAGCCTCGAGTCGCCCAGACACACCATGTGACCGGCACATCAGCAGGTCACATCAGCAGGTCCCCATCCAAGTACTCTAGCAATCTTCACGTGTGCCCTCCATGACAACATACACTCAATCATTCGGTGGTTCATCCTCTACAAAATCCGTTGCTGCAGAGGCCCTGACTTGGCAGGAGGCTCACCTTCATTTACGAAAAATGACAACATCCTCAGAGGGGGATGATTCCCCTCCATATGTACGACTTGAGAAAACAAACGAAAGAGAGCAACCAAACAGAAAGAAAATTTAATCCATAACCAAAAGAGAAAAAATAACCAAAAACGCAGGGAAGCAACCATTATTAGAAGAAAAAGGAGAGAACGAACCCACAAAAAATGATTCAGAGAATAAGAAAAGGGGAGAGAGTAATGATTAAAAAGAAAACCACTCTCACAAAGGGCGACCATTTTGAAAAAAAAAAGGGAGAGAACATTTTCTCAGCAACTATTCGAATGGATTTTCTAAACCGCAAAACCAAAAATCAAGAGAAAACCTATAAAGGGACTTACCTTGCGTCAAATCCATCATCGTTTCTCTTCGTTGGAACCAAAACCTTCAAAGAATCGAAGGTACTTCGTCTGAAATCTCTAGCTATAGTTGAGGCTTAGTTATTTTGGTGGTTTTGAACCCTCTTTTGGGTTGAGGGTTAGAAAATAAGTATTTCGGATGTGTCTTCGTCGGTGTCGTTTGGCGATGGTCGTGCGTTAGCCATTTAATGGTTTTCTTTTTTTTTTTTAGAAGAAAGAAGAGAAAATGAGAGAATCAAATGAGGGCTATGGTTCCTACTAATGAGTGGTTAAAATAGTTAATATCTTGTTGTTAATTACTCCTTGTTGCTCGGTTTATTTTGATGATTTAGGTATTTTTATTTAGTTTTTGTGCAATACGTTCGATTCCATAAACAATATTAAAGAGGTGTGTTTTTGTAGTTTTTTTATTTTCTAGAATCAAGGTTAACTTAGTGGGCATAACTGCATCTGACGTGACATCCAGTCAACAGTTTCTAGAAGGTCAAGTCAGCAATTTCGTGAGGACGGGAGACTCAGTCACAATTTTAAATTTTAAATTATCTTTGATTTTAGGATTTAATCAAACAGTTTCTAAGGATTATCTATTGTCATTTCTACTATATTTTTAGGGTTTTAGAGGACTATAAATACCCCATCGAGGTAAGCCTAAAACCATATCTCGAATTAGCTTGTTCTTTTCTTTCTCTGATTTTATAAAAGTTCTTCTTTTTCTTTAATTTTGTTTTTTTTTATTTTCTTTTAAAA